ATGCATTCTGTCCTTCAGCAAACTCCTCCTGGCCTTGGTTATACTGAGGGCTGCCTTATGAAAGGGGGCTGATCCCTCGTCCCTCTCCCCTGTGGACATCTCGCTGCTCTCCACTGCTAAGGGTGTGGAGGTCTTACCTCCCCCTTCAGCTGTCTCTCCCTCTGCAGTGTGTATGTCTGGGATCCAGGGGGACACACTCCCTCTTGCTGCAGATCACAATATTAACAGCCCTAGGCAGTGAAATAATATCATTCCCCACTTGCACATCCACAGGTATATTCTGGAGAACCCCCGCCTTAAAGTACCTTTTAAACCTTCCCCCTCGAGCTCAGTGTGAGCCAAAGACCCCTGGTTTCGGATTCTCCCAGGGCCAGGGGCTTTACTCTCTCCCCTGGGAGCACATCAGACTCCTTAATCATATCCTCCTTGACAAGTGGGTCATGGACCCCCGTGTCCCTCCAGCCTCGGCACTTTCTGCTGTTTACCTTGGCATCTTTGTCCACCTCCAGTAGGTCAAACTGGACAAAATTAACTGGGACCCTCTCATGGACCCTGGGGGGGCTCCGGACTGGGGGTTCCTTAACCTGGCCAGTTCAGGGGGGTTGGCATCTGGATTCCACGTAGGAAGTGCATTGCTTCCTCATGCATTCAGTAGACTCAAACAGATAACAGCTTCTGGGACCATCCCGCTGGGCTGGGAACCTGTTATTGGTGTTGCCAGGAGGGGACCATCTCCTGCCTTCTTCCCCAGGACAAAGCAGGGACCCTCCTTTATGCCAGGACATTGCCCATCTCTCTCTGGCGTGTGCTCCACAAATGGTCCTGCACCTATAGATCAGCTCCGTCTTTTACAGTCATTGGGGTTTTATCCCACACTGCAGTCCTTACTTCATCAGTGCTGCAGGCATCAAAGAACTGCTCATAGGCAAACGTGTCGACCAGCTTTTCACAATCCTTTGCCCCTTTACCCCTTATCCGCTTGTTCAATAATCACACACTTTATAAATATAGTTCCCGTGACTCATCTGATCATGTTTGCTGAGGTTTCTAAACTGTAGGCGATATACCTCGGGGGATTTGAAACGTTTTCAATAGTTTCCTTGGACCGATCATAAACCAGAGCCTCCCACAGATCCGTATAATTAAACACATGTAAGGCTTTAACAGAGAGTTTGAGAAGCAAGACGGTCATTTTTGTGCACCAGGAATTTGGTGAACTCTGCATATCCTCTCAAAGGTAATCAGATGTTCCTCTATGCATTGCCTGTCCCTGCAGCTTGGGCATCGCTTATCATAGCTGGTTGATCCCTGGGGGTGGGGCACTACCTCTGGATTGAGGGCTCTTATTTTGTAATTGCAGCACTCTGAGCTCCTGCTCACCTGTGTTCATGCTTTCAGTCTTCCAGCTCCATCAGTCTCCAATGGGCGGCTTCCTGGGCTGCCTTCTCTCTCTTGCAGCCTTTCTCCTCCATCCACCTCTGGTGCTCTCATTCTTTTTCCAATTTCACCAACTCCGATCTGGCCATCTGGGATGAAGTGGGAATGTTCTTAATGGTTTGTCTGAATACTCTGAGTGTGCCTCAGTTTCCCCTATGCGTTACTTAAGTGTCTTCTTCTAGGTGAAGACACTTAAGGTTGCATCTGAAGAAGTGAGGTTTTTACCCACGAAAGCTTATGCCCAAATAAATCTGTTAGTCTTTAAGGTGGCACCAGACTCCTTGTTGTTTTTGTAGATACAGACTAACACGGCTACCCCCTGATACTTGATTCTTCTAGGTGGTGGGACAAGGGTGTGTAATCATTACAGAGACCCCCCCAGAGGGCAGGTGTGGCTGCCTGGGCTCAGACAATGGCCAACACTTGGTATCCTGGCAACTGATCGCCGGGGCTCATCCTCTGCAAGAGTCAGCCGGAGATGTTGGAGAACAAAGCGAGGAGTGGAGGCCAGGTGACCCGTTTGCCCCGGAGAAGGGGCAAACTGGGTGTGACAGAGGCTGGGCTGCTGGAAACTGATTAGTCTGTGGTTGGGGGACTGAAGAGGGGAAAGGCCAGGGCTCTGGATTACCCCCTGCCCTCCAGGATGGACTTTGCTGAATGTTCCTAATTTCTGTGCTAACAAGCTCTGTTCTACGCTGTGTTCCCGATGACTAATAAACCTTCTGTTTTCCACTGCTGACTGCAGAGTGGGGGTGCATGGCCCCTTTGGGGGCGTGTAAGGCTTCCCCAGGTGTCCCATCCAGGTGGACTCACTGCGGGAAGCTCACGGTGTGAACGGCTGAATGCTCCGAGGTCAGACCCAGGAGGTGCTGAAGCCGAGGAGGCATGCCCTGGTGAGAGTGTGCCCTCAGGGGAGACACACTGCACTAGAGTCCTGTCTGACTTCATTCAGAGCAGTTCCAGAGCACCCAGCCTGTGACTCCGTGACACCATCGCCAGCCAAAAGGCTGCTTTGTTGAGGGCTGTGCCAGGCTGGCCCCCATTGCTGGGAGTCGCACCCAGACCTGCATTCCCTACATTTTCATTCATTCCCGAGGGATCTAGCCGCTCTCTGTACAACTTGTTCCATGAGCATAAACCTCATTCCCACAGCGACTGATCCACATTGGGCGCACAGCTGCTTTGACTGCCGTGGAGTTCATTTGCAATGTGTTTCGTGGCCACTTTGCGCTGTCTTTGTTCTATGGCCCTCTCCCGAAATAGACAGAAACCAACAAAATGTCTCCTTTTTCTCTCCTGTCTCTAACCGTATTACCTTCGAGCCTTTAGGGTAGGTCTGTCAGTGTACGTTGTACATGCCTTGAGCCTGAACTTCTGCTGGCTCACAAACAGGATGCACTTTTTCCTTCCCTTGTACAGTCACAGACATTTGTCTCAGTTCAGAATCGGGGCATTTCATTAACGTCAGCTCAGTCCTGATGGTGCCCTAGTCACAGTCTTTCCTTGGCGTTCTTTTGTCTTTCTCAGTGCTCAAGCCTGTATCTGCTGCAGGCTGCAAACCCAGAGCTGGGCTGGGTTGATGGATGTCTGTTGTTCTCAGCGTTGATTGAGTCCGCTCTGGAGACCCATCCTGCCTCAGGCAACAAGTTTCACCTCCAGTAGCTTTGGAACCCAATATTCTACAAGTGATATAACTCTGCAATTGTTTCCCATACAGATAGGATGCCAGGTGTCCAGTTTTGAACTGGACAGTTCTCTTTTTGGGTGGTTTGTCCCACATCTGGTACTGAGACAAAACCAGACGAGGTTTTGTCCGTTATCAGACAGAGGACACCACTCCGCCCTCGCTGGTGTGACCTCGCATGCACCCTCACACCAGCAGGTGTGGGGTCACGCCAGCAGGATCAGGCCCATGCCGTTCCCAGAAGTATCCGGTATTCAGGAAATGAATGAGTGGTCACCCTATGTACCAACATCCTGCAATAACCATGATAATTAGCTTGTTCTTAGCTTTTAGAGTCCACAAGGCCCCTTGGCTGAAATATCTGGAGGATGGTTGGACACAGATGTAATATACCTGCCTGGGCATGTCTGTGTCAAAAGGTAGGTAGGTAGATCAAGTGTGCTACAATCGGCAGGGTGAGAGAGAGAGAGACATTTCATTACTAAAGGAAATTTGTTGAGAAAGTTCCAAGCAACAGAGCAAAGAACTTGAAAAAAACTTGCAAAGGAAAATTGTCAAGTATGTTCCAGGCAACTGCAGCCCGAGGTTGAGAATAGATTGCCCTCCACAACCTCAACCACAGCTCTGCTGCTGGCAACATGATAATAACTTCTGATTGAATAATTACCAGTATATACCATACCTTAAGTCAAGCTATGAAATCCTGTTACTTTGAGTGACAATCACAAGGCTCCATTAGTGCATCTGTAACACATGTCTCAGCTGTCAGCATGCAGGAGGGTTGACACGCACATTTTCAACGTGGCTGTTTAGAAAATCGGCAGATAAAAATAACCCAGCCTGTGCGGAGGGGTTTTCACTCACTTGCATTGCCTTGTAGCTAATTCTGACGCCTCCATCAAATTTGCTTGGCAGAGGAGGGATGCAGGATATCAGCCGATGTCATCACAAGAGGTCCATGGAACAGGGCTGTGGATGGGAGGCCCAAGGGGGGGGGGAAGGATGAGAGTTAGTGGCCAGAGATGCATGCTCCAAAGAGGAGCCTGGTGCCTAATTGCAAAGCTTCTCTGCCCTGTGCCCGATTGCTTGGAATGGGCGGGTCGTCGGTGCTTTTCTCTGAAGGGTGTTGCATGTTAGTGACATAGCCTCACGTCAGCTTCAGAGCGTGGGTCATCTCCCGATAGCCAGAGCATCTCAAGGGCACCTCCCCGGCAGCTGCAACCCCTCCCGTTCACCAGTGGGCCTGTGTAGCCAGCTGATCCTCTTCTCCCCCAGACACACCAGCCAACCACCTCGCTGGCCTGGCCATGCCTCTCTTGCCGGTCCATCAGGCCGGCTCCAACAAGGGCAGGGGGCTTCCTTGGGGAACAAGAATTGGGAGGCAGGTCCAGGCGTGGGGGCCGTAGGACTTAGTGTGGAAAGAGGAAGGACAGCAATAGAATAGGAAGGAACATACAGGGAGCAGGACCATGAGAGGAGAGATACAGGCATGGGCAGGGCCGCAAGGGTGTGGATGAGGAGCCAGAGCAGGACATTACTAGTGTAAATGGTGGAGTCTCTGTAACTTGAAGTCTTTAAATCAAGATTTGAGGACATCAGTAACTCAGCCAGAGGTTCGGGATCTATTGCAGCAGTGGGTGGGTGATGTCCTGTAGCCTGCAGTGTGCAGCAGGTCAGACTAGATTATCATGATGCTCCCTTCTGGCCTTTGAAGTCTCTGAGCAGGAATCCAGTGAGCTAAAGGGAGGCCGATGGGGTCAGTGCAGCAGGGAGGAAGGTGACCCTAGCCGCAGTGTTGGCAGGGGTGGTACAGAGTTGAGCTGTGGCCCAGGCACACAAGGAGGGGGAGTGAGTGACTCTCGGGTTTCTCTCCCTGTAGATTTACCTGTCCTGGAAGAGTGGCCCCGGCGAGGTGAAGCACTGGAAGGATATGATCGCCCATCCCCGGCAGGCCGTGGCACAGTGGCACCAGCTGAAGGCCTGAGCGGCAGCGGCTGAGAATTCTGTCTGGCTTTCACCGCTCCGAGTCGACGTTTCTTGGCCATGCTCTCACTACTTTATGCACAACAGAGGCACCTGGGGATCCCCCTAGGGGACGAGCTCGGGGCTGACAAGGAGCTGAGGGTCTGAAGTTGGCGACGTTTCCAAACTCTGGGAAGCAGTGTTGGCCGCCCGCTGTGTCCATGGGGCGCCCGGCACCAACGGGAGCACCTTTAGTGCCCAACTTCCTGCTTTAGCCTTTCCTCCTGACTCGTTACGCCGAGAGAGAGACGCCAGCCCTCTAGGTGGGAAGGAGCCTCGGGGCTGGTTTGTTTTGGCCCTGGAGGGCGGGGAAGTGGTGTTGGCGCGACTGGCTCCGTGAGGTGGTGAGAGGAGGAGATGCCTCCGCCACACGAGACTTCCTACGAGTTCTTCCAGCCCAAGGCCTGTTAGGAGCGCTCCCCCAAGGAAGCCAGCATCTCCTATGGGGCGCGTGGGCCTAGGAGAGGGGCCGGCAAGGGGGACGTGCCCTCGGTCTCCTTGAGGTCGTTTATTTTTAATTCAATAAAACTTGTAAGAGTAATAAGAATAATATAAGTAATAGCGGCTAGAATCCCGTCCCGGCCAGGGCTGGGGGAAGCCGCGCCACTCCAACAGCCTCCTGTGCGTTTGCTGTGTGTGTGTATAAGCGTGTTGTAAGTGTCACATGTTTGCGTGCGGGCTGCTCACGTCTCGCTCTCTCTCTCTCTCTCTCTGCCCTGCCTGGGAGCAACCCCTGATCCCACAGGACGGTGGTGGTTCCAGTGCGGGATGTGTTTTTTTTTAATTGTCTGGTGCATGGGGTTTGAAGGAACTGATGCCACATGGGGAGTGGGGCCAGTCTCTGCTGCCAGTCCATGCTGGATAGGGAGGGAGGCGGAAGGAGCTGCCCACCAGGCAGGGTCTCCCCTCATGACCACTCTGTGGTATATGGGATTGGAAGCCATAACAGATGGATCGGTAGCCAAACTGGGCTCGGCTTTAGGGCTAATGAGAGCTTGACTGTAGTCACCTCCCTCTGGCTGGTGATTGCCTCGTCCTGCTCGAACTGAGAGAATGTCCCAAACCAGCTCCCAAACACTGCCACGCTCCCAGGCATATGGACCCCGAAACAGCCCACCCCTCCAGCACCCATCCCCCACCCTCCCCCGCGCCACCCCACACCCTCCCCATACCCAGCCCACCCCCCCAACCCCCATCCCCCTCCCTCCCCGAGACATCCCACACCCTCACCATACACAGCCCACCCCTCCAGCACCCATCCCCCAACCTGACCTAGGCCTCAGAGGTGCTGTCTGTGAAGGTCTCCCACTTGCTATCTGTCTCCTCCTAGCTGTGGGGCTGGATATGGCCCCCCCCCCCTTCTCCTCAATCCAGTAGTGATGCGGCCCCATGATGGGATCTCCTGGGTGGTCTGAGGTAGCAGGTGGCTATTTCATGGTGGCATATTTGAGCCCATTCTGGGTGCCTCACTGGGCCATGTCCGCTGCAGTGGCTGACGGGGCCCCAGGGGTGCTCTTTTCCCCACCCCCGTAGTTCTGGGCATTGCTGCTCATTTCCTGGCAGTGCGACACTGGGGCAAAGGGGCTGCACCTCGCCCACGAATGGGCACAAAATAATTAATGTCGCCCAGAAGCCCTTGAGGAGCCTGCTAGGTGGCCAAGAAAGCCAGAGTCCTGAGTGCTGGGGCATGGGAATGCTGCGGACACATCCCACCCCCCCCCCATGCCTGCCACCCACCATTCCCCGCAAGCAGGAGGCCAGACTGGCATAGCTGTGAGCGCGCCGGTGCTGCTGCTACACCACTGCCTACACCGCCCCCTGAGGGGAGCGGCTGGCATTGGCCTAGCCAGGAGCACCCCATGGCCACCACTCCCCATATGGCCCTGCCTGCTGCCCAGTACGTGACTCAGCCCCAGGGGTCTGACCTGCCCCGGTCCCTCCCCTGCCCCTTTAAAGGGACTGTTCCTTTCCATTCCCGTCAGGCCTGAGCCTGGGGGGGTGGTCGTGCTGAATTAAGCATCTGCCTCACTCAGCCAGCAAGGGACCCTGCTAAAGAGCTAGCTGGAAACTGCCCATCTGGTCTGCAAGCCAGGGCTGGTGCTGTGCCAAGGGACTAAGAGCCGCTGAACAGCCACTTACACTCAGGCAAGGGCAAGAAGCCCTCATTTAATTCCCGCAGCCCTTTTAATCGGCACTGGCACAGGGAGGGGAGCCCGAGCCATGGGCCTGGAGAGAGCAAACCATAGGGCCTGCACAGCTGCAAAGCCTCCACCAGGGGGCACTGTAGGGCCATAGGCAGAGCGGTGCTGGGGCTCTGGCTCCGGCTGAGCACCCTTGGAGTTACTGCCCAGGGGGCTGGCCAGGGAGCCCCGCAGAGACTAGGCGCTTCCAGAGTTGCCCCTCCCCGATCAGCGCATGGGGCTGGTCCCTGATTTCCCCGTTGGCAGAAACACAGCGCTCAGGCCCTGAACTAGACTCAAGGCAGGAGACTGGTACGTGCCAGCCAGCTCTCCCAAATCCCTGGGCCAGTACATCTGCCCCCTTGCTATGCATGGCCCTCTGGGACCCTCTTTCCATGGCACCATGGCTGCTCCCCTGCTGAGGCCTGGGCTCCTCACCATTGTTCTGCAGCCCCACGTCCCTGGTTTCCCCCCCACCACCACTCCCCTCAGCCATTCCTTTCACTGGGGCCTCATACAATGGTTCACTGTCTCCACACAGCCCCCTGCCCCCCAAAAAAGTATCTCCCCCCCCCCAAGCTCCTGTCATCAGTTCACTATTCCCAGCCCCCCTCTACCTCCCCCCACACACACCTTGCTCTGCCCACCAAGGGTGTGGTGAGTGCTGAGGCAGTTGGGTGGTGGAATGGGTGCTGAGGCCATTGGGTGGGAGGGTGGCTGCTGGGTAGGGCGAGTGGGGTAGATGCAAGGGTGCTGTGGATGATAGATGGGAGGGTGGAGGTCCTTGGGGTGGGTGCCAAGACTGCTAGATGGGGGTTAGGGGTTAAGGGGTGCAGACCTGATAGAGGGAGAGGGTGTCAGGGATGGGTACTGGGACTGATAGGTGCCTGGGGTTGCTGAAGGGGCAGCTGGGTGGATGATTGAGTTAGGTACTGAGACTACTGGGTAGGCTGGTGCCTGGGGTGGCTACTGGGTGGGTGAATGGCGTGATAGGGTGGGTGCTGGGGTGTCTCGGTGCTAAGTGGATGTTTAGGTATCAGGGCGGGTACTAGGGCACCTAGGTGGGGGGAAAGGGGGGGGGGAGTCCAGGGGTGCAACCAGGTATCAGGAGCGCTCCCCTAGACCAAGGGAGCTCTGCATTTAGTGGTGTCCAGGCTGCCTTGCTGCACTCTTGCCCGGCTGGGTGGTGGAGTCACTTGGCACGTTGCCCTGGGTGACGACAGCATCTGTTCAGTTTCCCTTGTGATGTTCTAGAACCCTCAGCGCTGGGGTGGGGAGCAGGGAACACTGTGTCCATTGTTGGGTGAGATCATTAACGCCTACCTACCCGGCCAGCTGCATCTCATTAGCGGGCCTCACTTGGTCTGTGCACACACTGTCCTCGCTTGACATTGTCCGTCTCACTGGTCTTGCTCTAATCTACCCTTTTTTAGATGAGATCACTGAAGAGATTGTGAGAGGACACCTTCGGTGTCATGGAAAGTCCACGGGTTGCCTTGATTCCTTTCAGTTTGTGGCATGGATGCTGCACTAGCCTGGCTGCCTGATGAGCTCCTAGTGATGGACAAAGGTCAGGTATTACCATGTTCCTTGTAGTTCTGCCAGCAGCCTTTGGAGCTGAGGACCTTGAGGGCTGGTTGACGCTATTGAAGATCATAGCTAGGGCTGATGAGATGGCTCTTGCATAGGTCTGCTCGGGGCAGGTGGTGTTGGGCAATTGCTTTACTGAGCCAAGGGCATGTTCATGTGTGGCACGTTGCAGTTCCATTAGGTCCTATTCAGTTTGTGTGTGAGGCCACCAGGTGCAGAGGAGACTGAGACATTACAGGCCACAGCAGTGTCATCGTTATGTCAGTGGCAGGTAGCGCACTTCCTGGCACAATGATGCTGGTAGGTTGGGTCCCAGCTAGAGTGTATGGCAGGGGGTTATTGAAAAGTTGTTCCCACCCTTTATCAGTGCAGGTACAATTTGGAGGTGCTGTCAGAACTCCAGCCTCCCCCACAATCTCAGGCATCACTGGCAGCTTTTATTCTTCTGCCTCTAGTCAGACAATTGTGACCATCTCATTTGGACCTTGACTGTTATTCAGGCATTGATGGCCTCCAGACTGGATTGCTGCAGTGCACTCTACATTGGCAGTCCCTTGGAGATCATCTGGGTTGTAGCTCTGGTGCAAAACCTGGTAATGAGCTGTGTCAGGCACAGTGAAAATGTTACACCTGTTCTTCCAGAGGCTACAGTAGATTCCCATGAGCTTCCAGGTGTCACTACTAACCTATAAATCCCAGTGTGGTTTAGGTCCTCGCTACCTGTGTGACCACCTCTTAGGGTGCCACCTTGATAATTGATGTCACTCTCAGTCTTAGGTCATTCATGATCTTAAGTGTTTTAAAAGGTTATTGGGGCAGTCTTGGGGAAAGTTCTCAAAGCATGCATTCACTTCTGCTTCCATCCAGGCAAGACAGCCCAAGGCTCTTAACCTTGTGGGCGTGATGTAAGGACCACCTACTCTCTCAGGCCTTCCGAGTGAAGTGACTGATAGGCTCTGTACAGTAGTTAGCCTATTTTTTAGGGCATAAGAGTCTTTTTATTTGGTTGACATAGTCATTGTGTTATGGTGTTTTTTCTACATGATGTGCAGGTGCCTAGAGACATTTGTGATAGGCACATTTTTATAAAATTAACAATAAACCATGACGGGAGGATGGAGGAAGGCCTACGGGTGATGGGGGAAGGGTTAGGATCTCCTAGGAAGGGTTGGGTGGACTTTCGGTTCTTTCT